CTAAGTTTTACTACCCATTTGATTAATCTACCTGATAGCTCTAGTGTTTGTAAAACTTCCCTAAATGGTTAGTCGTTAATATATGAATTGTATGAGCTTGAAAATATGGTCTGAGTTTCTTAGTTGACATGATGACTGCATAGGCCAGCTTTCTATCCTAGCATAGTTTATCTCTGATCTTGTCAGTATTTTACTTACAAAATAAATTGACCTATACCTTTTTTCTTTTTTTTTGGATCAAAATTAAGTTGATTGCTTGGTCGGTGGTGGCCAAATACAAGTACAATGTCTCATTAAACCTTAGTTTAGAAAAGATAGATGGAGAGAAAAAGAACTCTTTAAGCTCATTAAAAAATTTTTAGCATTGAGGGGTCTATTTGAAGATGAAAATGTTCTTGAAGATCTTGAAAAATGGCAAACATCGTTCTATCAACTTGGACATGAACCTGTTTAGAGCAGTTATTCTTTTGGTTAACCTTTGTATCTCCTTTATTAAAGTTAATGCTTTCATATCTAAGATGGTTTAAACCTTTTTTGGGTTCACCTCTATCCCTTTTTTATTAATCGTATAGCCAAAAAACTTTTTAATGTAACCCTAGAAAAATATTTGCTCAGATTAAGCCTCATGTTATATTTTTTCAAGGTATTGAAAGCCTTATCTAAGTTTTTTTGGTGCTTGGCTAGGCTTTTACTCTTCACTATCATGTCATCCTCGTATATTTTTGTGTTTAAATCGATTTGATTCTTGAAAACCTTATTGACCAATTTTTAGTAGGTCGTTTCTACATTTTTCAAGTCAAATGACATGACTTTGTAATAATAGATGCCTTTTTCAGTGATGAAGGCTATTTTTTTCTCATCTTTTTTCAATATTTTGATCTGGTTGTAGCTAAAGTAGACATTCATAAAATTAAAAGATTGTGTTTGGTGCTATTGTTCACCAGTTAATCTATGTTGAGAAAAGAAAAACTATTCTTTGGACAGGCTTCGTTAAGGTTGGTAAAGTCAATGCATATTCTTCACTTTTCACTGTGCTTCTTGACATGTTAGCTATCTATTCAAAATAATAGACGTTTTAGATGAAACTTATTTGTAGTAGCTTACCAACCTCCTTCTCAATAACCTTTTACCTTTCTAGGGCAAAAGTCTTTTTCTTTTATTGGACTGGTTTCATGTTTGGATTAGTGTGTAACCTATAGACCATTACCTCAGGGTTAATCATGGCATATTACACTATGTTTAGGCAAATAGGTTAGCATTATTTCTCAAGAGTTGGATTTATTGCTTTTTGTATTCAAGTTTAATTTTGATTTGCATATATAATTTTAAGGTGCTCTTCCATAATGGTATAGACACAGGGTCTTCTATTGGTTCAGGTTGGTTCTCATCTACCTCAGTTTTTGGTCAATTATTTCTTTTTGCTTAATTCAGTGAGGACCCTTTCTCGTAGGGATAGATCCTGATGTGGTAGTTAGTATGTTGTTAGTCAAATGATAAGCAATGAGAATATAAAGTTGAACAAAAAGTGTATTTTCATTTCAATTTCTTTCTTTGGCCAGTGTGTTAGTTTGGTCCTATTGACATGTATATGTTTGTGCCGACTTAAAAGCTCGATCACTTGTAGAATCTGTTCAAAAGTTTCAAAAATTATTAAAAGTATGGTTTTCTGTTAATAAGGAGCTTAAGAGCTTAGAGTGGCTTGAGAGCACTTTTCTTTTAGGTTGGTTTTCTATTGCTATGGGTGTTTACCCTTGCTTTCTTGCTTCTTTTCAGTCATTATTACTTTTTTATCTTTTTCAATCTTCATGGTCTCAGTCAAATTGTCAATTTGCTTTCCAGTCCTTTCTTTCATCGTTATGACATAATATTGTCATGCCATAGACTAGTCTCCCCTCACCTCTCCAACCCTATGAGGGATTGAGAACTTTACTTTAAAATGGGAAACTGAGCCTTTGAATAGCATAACAAACTAAATAGGTGGGCCCAATATCATATTATAGGCATATGGGATATCTATGACCATGAATTTTATGACTGATATTATTGTCCTCGTTTTTATTCCCAGCGAGATTGATAATTTAATAGTCCCTTTGCTTGGTACATATTAATTTTCAAATTTGATCAAAGTTATAGTGATTGGTTGTAGTTAATCTTTCTTGATTCTCATCTTTTTTATGGTGGCATGATACAGGACATCGATTTAGCTTTCATTATCAAATAAGATCCTCTTGACCACATAATTGTATACCATAGTCATGATCACTATGGCGTTGTCATGGGGGTATTGGATTATTTTTAAATCTTTCAAACTAAATAAGATCTATTCATTTTTCTAGTCTTTTTCTTTCTTTGCTTAGAAATCGATGGCTATGACTATACTCTAGTCAAACTTTCTCTTAACGAAAGTGGAGCTTCCCCTAGTAATCACATTGATTACCTCGACAATTGGTCTATTATCAGCAGCCCGTCCTTCATCCTGTTGCCATCTCTTATTTTTCTTTGATTACCTTTTTTATCCTTTGTGGGTTCTCCATGATCTCTTTTATAGTCTGACCTATTATGCTCTTGTCTTCATCAATCTACAAACCTTCCTAGGTAACCTCTCTTAATCAAAGCTTCAATTTCATTTTTTAGATTGACATAGTCATCGATGTTGTGGCCTATATCTCTATGGAATGTGCATCTTTTGGTCAAATCTTTTCTTGTGTTTTGCCTTAGTGGATTTGGCCATTTGAGCTTTGGATTCTTTTGAATTTGCATTAGAATCCTCTCTTGAGAAGTATTTAATGTGATGTAGTTTCTTTCTTTAATGGGGCTCATAGCTCTATGTCATCATTCTCTTGGGAAAAAGTTATAGAAATCTTTGCTTTTTTTATAATTGAAGAAGGGGATGAGCCTTTTTTACCTCAGTTGTCGATGTAGGATGATGAACCTCTCTCACCTCGATTGTTTCTCATCATAGCTTCAGCATTTATATATTTCTCGATCAGAAGTAAGATGTCGACTAGTGTTTTTTGTGGCTCCAAGGATAAGGTTAGTTTACGGTGGTACTCTTTATCACCGAGTCCACTTATTAGGGTAGCTACAGCGGTCGTCTACTTTAGGTTTTTCACTTGTAGAGTTTTTATGTTAAAACGTATAACATAGTATTTTAAAGATTCATTTCTACCTTGATGGATTGACATTAGGCTCAAAGTCATTTTTTTTGTTTTTCTACTCCTTACAAATGGGACAGAAAAGGGTGGCTGAGCTCTTTAAATGTTGTGATTGACCTCAGTTTAAAACTATTGTACCAAGACTAAGCCATGCCCTTAAGGGTGGTAGCTAGACCTTTGTACATTAAAGTTTCATCTACATGTTACATCATTATATTAGTTTATAAAGCTCCAAATGATCAAAGGGGTCAGATATACGATTGTAAGTTTCCAAGATTGGCATTTTGAATCCCTTTGGAAGCATAGCATGGTCAATCTCTTCAGTGAAGAGTGAGATTTTCAAGAATTTGAGCTCATCCTCAAGAGCAACTACCTTCCCCTATAGCTCTTTTTCCATAGCTTGTATCTGAGTTTTGAGGTCTCTACTCAGTTGGGGTTCCAGGTCGATTTGTTTTAATTTTTGGGTTGTGACGTGTGTTGAATTGTGGCTAGCGTAATGATAGGCAGAAGGAACATCATGTTCTTCTTCCTAGGAGGCTAAAAAAACTTATATTTCCTTGTAATTTGGTTGCCTTTCTATAGCTTGTTGACTAGAGGTGGCTAGATTAGGCGTTTTTTAAGCTTGGGTGAGATTATAGTGTCTAACATTTGTTTTAGAGCTTGTATTTGTTCAGTTAAGACTTGAAATTTTTCATGGTTAGATTGGCCTGTTGTGGGGTAGGTTGGTCTGTGTGTTGGCTGCTATGTGTTTATGTTTTGGTCGGGACAGGCATCTCTCTTTTCTTCATAGCTCTCTTCCTGGGCGACATAATTTCAGGTTCAACCAATGAATAGAAAGGTCTCTACTTGACACGTCAAATATTTGTATTGAGCTTTGACTTTGGGGTCTTCCTAGAAAGATAAGGAAAAAAATAGAGTGGTTAGGTGCAAAAGTAGGGAGTGTTCCTTGCGTTTGTACTCTAATGCATAAGTTAGAGATTAGGATAAGGAAAGTTGAAATGAGAGAAAAGTAAGGAATTAGAACAAGATAGAACTTGAAAATATAGTACATGGATGTCCATATTTATAGGTAAGAAGCAAGGGACCAGGGGGGATAACAGTGACGTGGCCGAGTTGATATGGCATTGAACATGTTAGGTCAATTCAAATGTATGAAATGCCATTGGTTGTCTATTGGTAACCTCTAATAAGGGGAAAAGACCACAATGCCTTTTTGACCACTAAATGCCCATAGCACACTGACTTTTAGATTTATTTTGAATGTACATATAGTGCGTTTGAAATTTTAGAGAAAGAGTTGATGGTTGAAGATTATAGAGAGATAGGATGGAAGGAAAAATGGGAAATGGTTTCAAATTTTGATATTTGTATTAAGTGTGGAATGAAGTGTCTTGGTCAAGAAAAAAACAAGGAACATGTCATCTTTAGCCATGTGGCAGTTTTTATGGCATGGACATGCCATGTTGTCATTGAATTATACGTGGTATATTCAATCAGGATTTTGTTAGAAATTAATAGTTGGATGATAAAGAAATATTTAATAAAATGTTAGTGATTGAATAAAAAAAATTAATAATTTGATGATCATTTAAAAAAAAAAAAAAACTTATATAGTTGGTTGACTATTGGTGTATGTTACCCTTTCTTATTGTACATTGAAGTCATTAGAATTTGAGATAGAGAAATGAAGAAAGCTTTATTTCGTCTCTTAAATTACATTCATTTCCATCTTAAAAAATTAGAGTTTGAAACCTTTAAAATGAAATTTGAAATTCCAACATTCTATACTTGGGAACCAAAACAAATCTTTACAGAGTAGTAAGGAAAAAATTAATATTCACCAACTTACGCAATTACTTCACCCTTCCTACAATCCCTTAACTTGATGTTCACAACATTCATGCCACCCATATATTTAACACTGCAGCATTTTATGCTTCCAGGCTGAAAAATAAATAAGGACATCATTTAAAGAATTTACTTATGAATTGTAAAAAATAAATAAATTAAATTAATGCAAGCTAAAGATGGTAATACCAACCTCCATGCGCACTGTTGCATTAGAAAAAACTCGAATTCTGCTGATGCGATCTGCAGAGTGATTTCCTGTGTAGAAACAAGGTCGCAGTCGACGTGGTGCTTTTCGTCTATAGGTAGTAAGAACCAAGGCATTCCCTTTGATTTTCCTGACGGATTCCATGAAGAATACATGCGGAGCTTGACATGAATCGTTTGTAGGCAACCTGGTGTTGAACATGTACACTGGAGGCGGACCATTCTTCCAGGGTGCAAATGTCTCAATGGGTTTCCTTAGAACACTCCGAGGGATGATATTTTCATATATATGAGCCGAGTAACCCCACGAGACCGAGACAGACCAGTTGGTTGGCCTATGATAGCAGATCGTTTGTTGTACCAAACGTGGTTGATCGACTTCTGCAGCTTTCATGAGATGATTTATTGATTCGATGCGGTTCTTGTAAGGGAAGAGTGGGTCTATGTTGTCAAAATGGTGAAGTGTAACAATAGGAGACTGCGGATGAGATGATAGCATGCCTGATATATCACCAAGTAGATCAATCTGCAGTAAATCTTTCAGCTTGTCATCAAATGTTTCGTTTTATGATTTTGTTATTCATATAAATGGGGAGATCATTTGAAGATGTTTAATCTCGTTTTTATTAGACAGACATTAATGACTATATATTATGCTATCAAACTATGGTTTACAATTACAATTTTGTTTCAGACTAAAATTTTAGAAAGTAGAATGAATTACCTGATGAATACCCCTTTCAACGGTTAGACCAACCCCCAAGTCAGACAAACAAGAGGATGATAGATGATCACTGGTATGCATGAACGGATATCTCTCAAGGCAATCATCCATCAATGGCGCTAGTTCTTCCACTAGGGAATAACTCAGAGCGTATCCACCTCCTCCGTACGCCATATCAAAGGAGAAAAGAAAGTTGGATATGACAGCCTCCGAATACATTCCAACATAATATCGCTTAGTATGATCATACTTTGCTAATACTTGAACTAAATTATCCACAAAAAAGATAGTGTCATCATCTGCCATAACAAACCATCTCACATCTTCGTTATCTCCTAGTCTAAATGAATCCAAAACAGAACGGAATATTCGTGCTTCAATTGGGTTTGCGAGCTTAGGGTATACCGGTAGCTTAGTGGCATCTTCATTGAGCTGAAAAGGAGGAACAGTTTGAGGCCATGGTAGAAATTCTTTGGAGGGAGGTGAATCCATAAAGATATTTCCCCTAGTTTCATTTGGTCTCCACCAGGCTTCAATGTATGGTCTTCTTTGCTTCCATGTTTTCAAGCTGCCGATCAAAACGAATTTAATGTGGCTAATGTTGGTAGGGTAATCAACAGTATTTTTAGATGAATTCGACCATTTGATCTCAACGGGTGAGGAAAGATCACAACATTTATTACAGGGAGGGTTGTAGAAGAATGTATAGAAAAACAAAAGAGATAGCCCCGAAATAGCTAGGAATTTGCCAAAATTTACAAAAGAAGGATTCCGAAATTTTGGCTTCATTGGATTGGAATTGCTGGTACTTTTCACAACAAATTATCAAGGCTTGAAAGAAATTTAATATGGGATGGAGTATTGGGGTGGAAAAAAAGAGTAATTAAGATCCTCTAGAATAAAGGAATTGCACTCTCCAGAATTTTGATGAGGAAATTAGTAGAGCCAGGTATTGGTTAAGTAGGCTGAGCTGCAACCAAATTTTGCTGTTACAATTCTAGAAAATAGGGCTTCATGGGTTTATATTCACAATCTGGGTTATGGTAATGAGGGAAGTTCTAGATTTTCTTCAATTCACTGGGATTCACTTGTAAATCTTGATAACAACAAAAATGAAATAAACAAAATAGGAGTTACATGATTGGAAAAGAAGTATACTGAAGGAAGGTCATTTCTTATTTAATACAAAAATGGACGTACATTTGTTCTTCTTTCTGGTATGTATGGAAAAGAAGAAAAATGCTCTATTTTTCTTCTGCTAGCTTAGAAAAATTGAATGTATTTTGTTAGATTGAATATAGAAAGTTGAGGTTTCATTTTTCAAGTTTTTCACACGACGTGGGGAGGGCTTTGCGCATTGACATTGTCAAAAGAGAGAGAATTTTAAAGTAAAAAAGAAAGTGGTGATTTGCTCCATGGTATCTACAGCATCCACGCCAATTAAGAGCGTTTCAAAGGGAAAACTATTCACTTTTTGACTGTTTTGCCCACAAAACTAGGAAAAAGAATCACTGTATTATTTTTTTATTTAAATTATATCACATAATCATATTATTGAAAGATATCTATCATATTTATATCATGTAATTATTTTATTAAAATAATAAATCATATATAAAAAAAATTTTGCTAAAGAAAGATGAACTTTCATTGATAAGTTAAGATTGTACATAAAGTAGTTACAATGTTTTAAATAAATTTAAATAAAAAGAATATAGGCTACAGTAAAATAATCATTTCATACATTTTTTTCTCATTATACTAAGTTTGCCATGTAGTTTGTTAGGAAGGAAAAAGCAAGTGTAAACCAAAGAATGGATGGCAAAGTGGTAATCCTTCCAAAAAAAAAAAAAAAAGAAATATATGCATCTATAAATTAAAAGGATCCCAAAAGATCTTGAGATTGACATTTGTCCCATTTTTTTAATGATTTTTTATGCTTTTTTTTTTTTTATTGTTGAAGTTTGTTTTGTTGGCTGAGTCAACATGACATATGTTTGGTTTTTTAGATTATTTTATATGCTTTCTTTTCTTATTTCTAGAACTTTATTTTGGTGGTTGAGGCAACATTAAATAAGATTAGAAATGCAAGAAGGAAGGTGACACAAAATACAGAACAATGATGTCAACTCTATGTTGGTCTTGATGTTATTTCTTTATTGTTTTGGAGTTTTTGTGTTCTTTGTTGCTTTTTTTCCTTTTTTTTTTTGTGGTGTTTCTCTATTTGTAGGTTTGAGGTTTTTCTCCCCTTAAGTATTTCTTTTGTGTTTGATCTTCTAGTTCTTAATTTAATCTTTGTTATGCATGAGGCTTTTATTTGATTTCTATTAGCAATGTTTTTATTTTTACAGCTCAATATAGTTTGTATTTCATCAATTTTTTTTAATTATGGTTTGGATGTTGTTTGATTTATCTTTATAGTGGTGTTTCTCTTTTAATTACTGAGTTCGAGCTGTTGATTTTTTATCATTTTTGTCAAATTGGTTCTAAAAATTTTGATTTTTTCCTATATGTTTGATAGAAAATTATTTGGACAGTTTTTTTTTTTCTCTTGCATGTTGTTTGGAAAAGTTTTTCTTTAATTTAATAACTATTTTGCTTTTTGCACAAGATTTGTTAGAGGTTTTATGCTATTTTAATATGATGTGAGTTCGGTTTTGATTTTATCTATGTTTAGTTGAATTGTAAAATCCAAAATATATTTATAATTTTTTTTGGGTAAAAATGATGAAGCAAGGTTTAGCAATGGTGATTGCTTTGTAGAAATACTAGAAAGGATGTGTATGAGATTCATTGTTTGAATGGAATTATTTTTGTTTTATATTGTTTGAAAAGAGTTTTTCTATAATATCATATATTTTCTTTTTTTTTCTTATAGAATTTGTTGAAAGTTGCTGGCTAATTCAATTTGAAGTAAGTTGACGGTTAAACTTTTGTTTTGTTATTGTTATTTTTTTTCTTTATTTCTCTGTGATGTTGTATGGCTTTTAACCAAGTTTTGGTTACTTCACTATGTTGTTTTTGACTATTTGCCATTTTTGTTTTTGTTTTATGATATCTTTATTTATTGCCATAAGTTTTTGTGTTATTTTTTGGTCCTTTTTTTTTATGTGTACATTTGTTAGTTGTTTGCTTTATTGAACAATAAATTTTAGTTATGGATCCTGTTAATCAAGCAAGGAAAAATATGATTAAGAGATTGGAAAGGTTAAGGTGTAATAGGTTAAGAAGGCATAATAGTATTTCTTTAGGTAGATTTTTTCAATTTGTTATTAATAGATGTTAGGATAATAAAGCTGTTATTTAGGGCAAGGGTATGGGTATTATAGATGTGATGATCAACATGTTAGTAGAAGAAAACCTTTAGTTTTGGGTGATAATTTGATAGATCAACCTGTGTTGTTTTGAGAGATGATTCTATTGATTCTGATAAAAAGAATGGATATCAGTTTCATACATCATTGCATTCAAGGGTTGGTGTTATTAGGGAATTAGAGACATTTATGGTTAAATTATCTAAATCTCTTATTTTGAAAGATTTGGTTACTCATATGTCAAGAAAAAGAAAATTTGGGTTTTCATTAAATGATTCAATGAGTTATTTTGGCTTTGGTGGAGGTTTAGACATTGCTGTCATAGAGCTTGCTGGTAATTTTTTATTCATTTTTTTAATTGTTATTCTATAATGAGAATGTTTTATTTATGTTTAGTTTTGTGTTTTTTTTTTATTTAATATGTGAATGTGAAAAGCATGATATGATGGTTAGCTTAAAAAGTGAGGAAGAATCCAACCATTATGGCAGGGGAAGATATCAATTAAGTGTTCAAGTAAGTTTGGTCATATTCAATATATTTTAATAACTTATAATTTAATATTTTGGGTTTGTTTTATATCATGCTAATAAGTTTTTTTTTTTTTTTGGTGTGCTTTCTTTGTTATTATTCTAGAAACATGTTTTGCTTCTTTTAGTTTTGGTGGTCTTAAATGTATCTATCCCTATTGTAATGCTGTAATATGGTACGAAGAGAGTAGATATCTTGAAACAAATGTAGAATCCTACTAATAGTAAAAAAATATATAGTGTTTTATAAGTTCTATTTCATTCAAAAAAATTTAAATTTGATTGAATATAGTGCGTTTAATGCATGTTTTCTTAATTTTTACGTTTCAAGCTTATGGGATGTGAAAGCCATGCAATTCATGCAAAATGGTACAATATTTAGCCAAGAGCATGAACCATGCAATATTTGGCCTTGCATTGGAGTCTATAACTGAACCACTTATCCAAGAAAAGATAATGATAAATTAGGCCAAAGACGAGTTGTAGCTGTAAAAGGACTCTTTGTTTATCTTATAAGAGTTTTACTACTAGAAGAACATCTCAAAGAAGGATAAGAATAGAGTTATGATGTAACAAGGATTCCTACATCTATTTGGCCAATAAGAGATCTTATGAAGCAAAGACTCTTTGATCATTTTGAAAGCGTTTTTATGCAAGAGATAAGGCTAGAATTTTTATTTAAAAAGGATTTTTAAATGTTTATCTCAAGAGTTTGAAATCAATGCAACCACATTAAGAAGATTAGTCTTGGAATTTTGTTTTACTTAAAACTCCATTTGAATTCAAGATAATGATGACATGGCAAGACACATAAGCATAGAGGACCAATCAAAGAATCCAATTTGGCCATACAAGCTTCATCTCACCCTTGAAGACTCCTACATTTGGCCAACCTCTATCAAGATTAAGATAACATTGTAATCTCTTAAGTGTTTGAGATAAAATAGGACTTTGTAATATTATCCCCATCTTAGCCAAACCTATGCCTATAAATAGATTGGCTCTCCTCACTTGTAACACATCCCGTTCCATTATTTTCCCATTTTCTCTTTGTTGTAATGATTTTTTGGGCTATTAAAAGAATTGGAAATCTAAAAGGAGTCGCTACCAATATTTTTTTAGCTAGGTGTGATTGGTCACCTATTAAAACTTAAATTTTTAATAAAATTTTAAAATTAAATAAAACTTATTAAAAAGATAATTTTTTTGGGTTTACAAAACAATTCGGGTTCAAAAGTTGGTTATGCATAAAGAAAAAGATTAACACTCCCATAGCACTCGTTTAAAACGGTACCAATTAATTATGTGTTAATCTTTACTTTCAACTAAAATGATCTCAATTTTGGTATTTAAAAATTAATTTTTAAAATTTTTTTTATTGTAAAAAAAACATATTTTTAGTTTGAAAAAAATAAATAAGAATCTTATTTATTGACAAATTTCTAAAAAATATTTCAATACTTTGACAATATTAAAAGAAACTTTCTCACCTAAAGATTTATTAAGAATTACTATTTGGATTTCTCAAGAATCTCATCCTTGATAGTTTATATTTATCTTCAAAATCAATGTATGTAATAAAATATTGTAACATGATTTAATCTCGATAATATTTAAAAAAACTAATTTCTTATTCTATTTATTAAAAAAATGAGAAATCTTTATTTAAAATTATTTTAAAATGCTCTAATACATTGACGGTATTTTAGATAAATTTTTTTACCTTAAGATTCTTAAAAAATCACTACTTAGACTTCTTTAAGATCTCATCTTTGAAAATTTTTCGTTTACTTTTTTAATAATTATTAATATTTAAAAGTTATGTAATAATAATATTATCTATAAATTTATTTCTTAAAAAAACACTCTTGTAACTATTTTATATTTTTATCTTTCTTTTTTTTGGTGGAAATCATTCAAATTAAAGAAATATAAAATTCTTTGTAT